TTGGGTTGGCATTGCAAACTGCACATCTTTGGTTCAAATCCAATGGCCATCACCCTACCCAAAACATTGGGAGGCAATGCCGAACCAAAAATAAACTAGTTCTGCCAAATATTATTAGCTCCTTAAATATTGCTACACATCAGTAGAAGTTTAAACAGGGCTTTGTTCACAGCAAAATGTGTGGATAAGCGTCGTATATATAAAAACTCAAAGATCTCAGTTATAATAGAATTTTAAGAATAAGCAGTGTAAGTGTAACCATAATTTATATGTTGGATGCCCAATAAAACATTGACAACAGAGAAGCAGAAAATTTAGTCGTTACTGGAATACGGATCAAATAGTTACAAAATTGGGCAACCATAATTCCAATGACAGATGTGACAACAGAGAAACCTAGTAAACAACAGCTGGTCGTTGAACCTGGTTACAGTCACGTTGCAGACAATTCAAGCCTGAATACCATAATGGTTGATTCTGATTGTCACTAAGAAATTACCCTCAGTCACATACACCCTAACATTTTGCAACAGCATGACAAATCATGGTCAATATTTATCAGAAATAGAAAGAATGCTTTCTGGCCATCCCTCGCCCATCAACTGGAATTTGATGGACGCGATGGTTTCTTATATATAGCTTTGTTCAAAGTTAACGGTGTATAATAGATGTGTATAAACAAATTTAAATGTTGCTTGAAATCAAGAGAGAAAAGTTGAGAACGTTGTACTTGATTTTACCTAGGACGAGGCATTATATATGTGGTTGAGTGATTACAAATGTCACAAGCTGGATGGATGGTTATGGGATCAAAACTGCGACCCAAAAATGCCTTTCTTTGATTTATAAATAAGAGTTTGCAAAATAGTGTTTAATACAAAACATGACTTTTTATGTGCAAGTTCATTTTTCTAACTTTGCATGGAAGGTCAGTTTGGAGAATAAATATCGATTTGGTTTATTTTTAAGGTACTCCCGTAGTATGTGAACCAAGATGGCGGACATCAGTATGTGTATCAGGTTTGGGTTGGGCCATAATTTCAGGTACAAATACTACAGGAGTCACTTGGCTGGTCCCCGAACTCGTAATCGAACTAAAACAAGGAAAATTGGCCTAACCCTAACCTGGTACACATACTATGTTCGGGTGTCCGCCATCTTGTTGTACATATTACGGAGCAGCGCCAATTTAAATTTTTTCAATTCACAATTTAAATCTCAAATTTGGTTGGAACCAAATTTTTAATACATCTGTACTTGATATTACTTACTTGAGGCCCCAGTCAATCCTTATAACAATTGTGCATATTTTGGAATATTTAATCAGAAGACTTACTTATCTGGACCTCCAAGTTTGTTAGTCTTATGAGGAATTTCATCATTCCATATTATCTCTCCTCTGCTACTTCCAATTATCTGAATCTTGAAGAGCAATCCTGCTTTGCTTTCTCTAGCAAGAGTTTGGATGCGTGATCGAGGAAGCGATGCCCAGGTAGATATTCAGTGAATTTCTTTGCCTCATATGAAACACTCTGCAAAAATAAACGCAATAAATTATTCAACTTCTATCTCTGATAATTTATTAAAACTGATATAAACACAGGTGCTCCAGAAGTATGCGCAACAAGATGTCGCACAACCTGAATCCTAACCGGTACACACATACTATGTTCAAGTTATGCGCCATCTTTGTGGGCATACTTCTGGAGGTCCAAAATTTCTGCAACTCAGAATCGATTCCTCAGAAGCAGACAGTTGCAAAAGCATATTTTTGGGGATTTTAGTTGGGATGTTCTCAAATACTCGCTCTGAACAAGGCACAAAACAAGCAGGCACTGATACGTTAATTGAACGATTGGAATCTTTCTCACTAAACATTGACTATCAAAACATTTGATTTCTAGGTCAGGAGGAGGGCACACGTTTGAACCAAAGATGTTTTACATGTGCAAACAAGTAAAATATCCTCAGGAAACATATAATCAGTGGCACCTTGTTCAGAGTTGCCTTCACATAAGATTAAAATTTTTTTTAATTTTTCAAAAAAGAAATGAAACATAATATATCTATGATTGGAAGCAGAGTTAGAATATGATGACACTAACATTTTACTGATACACAAAAAATCCACTGATATGTAAGAGGTTATATATAAAAAAAAAAACAAAGGACCAACATTTTTCCAAGCAGAGCATTGCTTGCCAATTTATACACATCGTTGGTGAGATCGTGATCTGGGATTTGAAGATTAATGTGAAGAGAAGTAGCCAAACTACGATGGCAGCACAGGTTAAAAATAGTATATAATGAAATAGGTAGGAGTGTATGATAAATTAGGTGACAATGCAACCAGACAGATTTCAGTACTACAACAAATAGTAGTGCCTTGCGTATCAGTGGCTGCTCATACATAGCCTTGTTTGGAACAAAAGACATGACAAACGTTTCATACAAAAAATTCATATGGTAAGTTTGTCATTATAGGCGTTTGGAATCTTATAGTCGGACAAAACTATCAGACTTAAGATAGATTATGATGATTATTGCCAAAATGAAATACCTAATTTACTATTTCATATAAATTCTTAAATAATATTTTTTTCCAATATTAAATATATTTTAAATTGGGCCATGTCCAACAAGAGTCTGTGAAAACCACTGTACAATTACATATGTGGAAATTTAATTCAGTAATGCAGAATAACTGATATAAACACAGCTTGGATTGATTTTTGCAATTTGCAATGTGAGATTTTAAAGAAAGTCATACGATTTTCTTCAATAACCAAATGCTTTGAAAGACAAATTTTGAAATGAAAACCTCAAATCGAGAATTTGCTCTATGTAATATAAATAATTGTGAATATATTCATTTATTTTGGACATCAGCACTGGTAGAGGTAAATTCTGCAAGGGGTCATTAATAAACCAACATAAAAAAATGCTTTCTGGAAACATCGGAAAAATTCTGGAACATCTAAGCACTGAGGTGTTATGATGGCCTTGTGGTTATAGCATTGGACTTAGCTATGTTGGATGATAAATTGAAGATCTCAAGTTCAAATTCCATGCCCAATGCCTTATCCAGGATGTAATAACTTGAGTAGGCAATTCCAAAACAAAAAAATTACATTCCATCCAAAAATAATAGCTTATTATGCAATAGCCCTGTTTGAAGTGAACAATGTAATAAAAAAAAAGTGTAATTAGAATTCAGTTGCTATTTGGGGGCAGAAAAATTGTATTTGGAAGATTTAATGTTAAACATGGAATCAATGTAAATTATTACAACAAGAATCAAATTTAATACTCAGCCAACTGAATTCATTGCATGACTCACATTCAGACTTCCAGCAGGGAATGTGTAGGTGACTACACGAGTGCCGCCTGATCCATATCCTGGCAGTGATTCAAGCCACTTTACCACTAAAAATGTTCCACCAGGTGGTTGTTGGTTGATTAGACCAGATGAAGTAGCTTGACTTGAAGTTTGAGATTCTGTAAATTGAAAATTATTTTAGTGAAAGATGATCACAAGACATGATTCTGATTGTGCTTAGAATGAAATGATAGGGCATTTTGTAATATTATGTATATAAGCCCTCATGAAATCTTATAAGCCCCCACTGCAGTGCTAGGCTTAAATCGTGTATTATATTTTTACTAATGCTTTTGCATATGAGTAATATTGAATATTTTGTCAGAATCTACTATTATCTGTAAGTAACGACATTGCCTACCCAATCTGTTACACCCTGGGTGAGGTGTGGGATTTGAACCAGGGAGGTGTAATCTGAAATGGCAACGGCTAAGCCCAATGCTTCAACCACTGCGTCATCACCAACTGGATATTGGTTCGTTTGATTTTAATCTCGTTACTTTCAAATCATAAGTACCAGAAACTCGAGTGGAGTTGAGGTGACCAATATTCTAATTATGTTAAATACCAAACCAGTATTTATATTGTCTATGGATTAACACTAATTTCAATTAGCCTACATATATTCTGAATTAGAATAAATTCTAAAAAAATTAATAATGACATATTTTATTTTTTTGAGTTGTCTTGAAAATAACATTTTATTCAAAAACACCAATTTAATATAGCAGAACTTCCTAAATATCTCTTCATTGAAGCGTTTTTGTGGGAGAAGTGGAGTCGGAGTACGTGTATAAAATATCATATTATAAAGAAGATTTTTGCCATTAATGCAAAAGCTTTATCTCCCATGTCTCACCACATAACTTATAAGGTATAATTTTAGCAAATATTGCTATGTAATGAAAAATTGGGTTATAAAATTACTCGCACACAGCTATTTGATTAAGTTTATACTCGCATGCAAATTATTTGTCAACTTTATCATTTTTCCATTCAAAAACGGAAAAATGGCGATTTCGTAGTCTGCAGCTTTTTACAAAAAAGAGATTCAGTAGTGAACACTGCTCATCAGAATAATGTCATACTAACTGAAGTATGCTTATGGGACCATGTCGAGCCATGAATATAACATTTGTGCTTCTGTAAATAATTGAAGTCATGTATTTTGAAGGCCCCTGAACATTTGCAAGATTTTGGAATTAAGGCTTGACAATTTTTTGAAGTACAAGATTGAAATTTGGAATTGGGTGCCATTCCCCTTATCTAGAAAGGTCCTTCATGTATACAACAACGTTCGTACCAGTAGAATTGTAAAAGTTTTATTTTTTTAATGACATCAGCGTGAAACCATTATATTAATCCTACAGTATATCTTACAGCCTTGTTATGCACAGGTGAAAGATCCATGACTGGTAATGCTGCTAAAAATTTGCCAAAAACACCATTCAAATCTTAAGGTCATGCAGACTTGCAAATTTTGATATTTGTAGGATTTCCTCGATAATAACAAATGACAACAGCGAGAAACTAGTTTTATGTTTGTTCAAGTTTTAGGAGCTACTTGTTTATAGCCTTGTACAAAAGTAGGAGACGTGATATATTGTACAAGAAACCCAACCTTTAGTTTTAGATCTTGCTCCTGATGATGAATTCCCCTGCTTATGCTGATGCTTCGGTCTTGCAGAACGTGAAGTTGCAGGCTGCTCATCCAGGCTTCGGCTTTCTAAATGTTTAATAATGTTTAGGCCTCTAATATATAGGAATTTTTTTTTTATCCAAGAAACAAAAAATTGTATAGTTAAACTTAATGAGCCTAAAATTATGACTACCGGTAATTATATTAATTTTACAGGTCTCCAATTCATAATTTGAATACTGCTTGAAATGCTGTGGACATAAAATTTATATTCATAGAGGCAAAAAAATGACAACAGTCACTTATAATCATGATGAATGCCAAATCAGTATCAATTTTGAAGAAGGAAGACTGAAATATTACATGATATTCACCGTTTTGTTAATAGTGTTTGCACATTTTGTGTTATAATAGTACATGTATATGCTTAAAATTGCAAACTGTGCGTGACACTTTGGGGATCGAACAAATGAAGGAAACACGATAATTTATGCATAGTGAAAAGATCAGAGAGATTGGGAATATACAATAGCAGGAATAGATTAAAAATAATTTGGAACCGCACTGGCCTAAGCCTATAACCAGTTCGGCCTATATCAGGTAAGACAAGTATTACATAATTATTATTTATTTTATTCATTTGGGCAAAATTTAAAAAAATATTATATTTTTGTGTCATCAGGTTTTTCATAACCATATTTTTACACCATTCGAAGCAGAACATTAAATAAATTCTGGCAAATTGAGAATCGGATGAGTTTTTCTGATGTACGATAAATATCCGATAAATTCTCATTTCCTTGATTAGACATTATCATGAGTATATAGATTAACACTAATTTTAATTAGCCTACATATATTCTGATTTAGAATAAATTCTAAAAAAATTAATAATAACAAATTTCATTTTTTTGAGTTGTCTAAAAAATAACATTTTATTAAAAAAACATCAAATTATTATTGCAGAATTTCTTAATTACGGTATGTCTTCATTGAATGGCACTGATTTTATTTTCAATAAATTCTATGGAAACCCCATAGAATTTATTGAAAATAAATTGGGGGGGGGTTACCCCCAACCTTCCGAATTTTTTTGATAACTGAAAAAGTCGCCGATAACGCGTGCAATTGCCTTCTGCTAAAATCGCAGATTGTTTTCATCAACATGGCACGTTATTTAGGCCGTAAACGCCCTTTACATTGGTGTCTATACTCTCTAAATCACAAATTTGTGCCACGGTATCAATGATAATTATTTTATTTTTGTACTCTCACGGAATAGTGAAAACTGAAAAAGTCGCCGATAACGTGTGCAATTGCCTACTGCTAAAATCGCCGATTGCTTTCATCAGCGTGTTATTTAGTCTGTAAACGCCTTTACGTTGGTGTTTATTCTCTCTAAATCACAAATTTGTGCCACGATTGGCACGATATACATGTTAATTATTTTTCTTTGTACTTGCACGGAACTGTGAATTCAGCGAAAGTTATTATAAGTTCATCGGTGGTGAGGTTCTAAAGAAAATTGACGGAGTGAATCCATGACCTTGACCGAAACAAGGTTGTAATCACGTTGCGCAAAAGAAAAATCATTTTTTGTTGAAAAAGTCGGCTCTTTTAACAAGTGGCGCAATTGGGCGTCTGATCGGCCTGGTTTTCGAGGCGGTGAATTTGAATTTTTGATTTACTGGTATACTTTATATCTATTTTCATTGTATCAAGTAAAATTGTACTAAACATGATTTTATATCAGATATCAGGTTTTACTAAGGGCGATAACGAGGTCGCAAGATTGCAAAAATACGTATCAAAATTAAATACATCAGGAGGCTTATCTCATATTTTTATATCCACAGATCGCCGTGGTATTTTACTGCAGTGATGTTTTTATTTTGACGTAAGAAGTTGCAACCGCGAGTTACGTTGGACACAATTAAATTAATATATAAGGACATTTTAGAATCTCGTAGTTGTCATGAATCGAATATTATACGGGACAGAAGATGAAAAGGCGGCTCTATGAACGATCGTGTGGTCGTGGTGACTGTTACATACGGGTACGGCACTGGAAATTTCCGATTTTAAAAATCCTGGCTGTGCGCCTGGTCGCACATATCCTAAAATATTTTACATTTCCTTTTTTATCAAATACGAAGGCAGCCGTGTGCGGTGCGTCTATAAATTATCTGGCATCCCATCAGCCGGTTTGTTTCCGTGGGTATGTACAATGTGTTGCTAGCGGACTTCAACGAGAAGACGATGAAAATGAATAAAAAGTTTTGAATTTCCTGTGTGTGCTCACTTACAGACATTACGTTCTCTCTCAGTGGTCAGCTCCTCCGGCCGCTGTTCTCCTACCCGCTGAGGTTTCGCTTAGCTTAGTCTAGTTCAGGGGCGCAGCCTTTGGGGTCTGCGGGTCGAAACCTCCCCCATATGGAATGTGTAAAAACGACGACTAATAGGCGCGACTTGCCACGCGCCGAATAAGCTCACAAAATTTTATGGCTCCGGATGCCGTCAAGTAGAAGCGACGTGATTGTGAGTGATGTGACCGAATAGGGCGATTTATGTACCTTTCCCCTGACCCCTGAATTTCTTCCCATACTTTACCATTGCAAAATTTTCGGTGCTCATTTAAAGAGTGGTTTTGCGAGTTGGCGCCTGTAAAATGGGGTATTTTTGTTTCAAACCATTATTCTGATACATAGCATTCAACAATCTGTTTTTTAAAAGTACCGGTGAATGATTTTAGCCTAGTCTATTGCAGCTATTTCTACACTAATTTTTTATTACTGCAATTAAACTGAAACTTCTAAGAAGACAAAGTGATCATTGAATTATTTGATTTATATTTAAATATCCGAAACAGACCTGAAAATTAACGAATAGATTTCAAAAACGCGAAACAGGGTAATATTTACGCTGACGCCTGAAAATCAGTCTTGAGCGAGAAAAGTGTCTGAGCGGATGCGAAACTACGTCACTCTTTGCATCTTGCTGATTGGCCAATGTCCCGAAGTAAACAAGGAAGTCGATGCTCGGGGAAACATCCATTCAGACCGCAATTTCCATTTGATGCCCTTATTCCTGGCAAATCCTGACATATTCAGTTTCGATTTCTAGAAACATTCCGTATCACACATAGCAATTTTCAGAATATCAGTTCTCTTAGAAACTCGCGTTTTGCGGCCCCCGGCCAGACCACATGTTGTTGTCAAACTTGGCAATTACAAATTTTGGCGCTCCGAAAGTATTCGCACCAAGATGACGCACAACCTGAACCCTAACCTGGCACACATACTATTTTCAGGTTGTGCGACATTTAGTACACACCTAAATTTCAGAACCCCCCCTTTGAACATTCCTGGCTACGCCCCTGGTCTAGTTGGCCAACGCCAACTTTTTATTCAGTATTTCTCTTTCTTCTTTCCGGTTGTACCTTTTTTATTTATTATGCTATAACTTAATTCTAACATTTATTTGTTACGGGTTCAACCATTATTATGATTCATATTAATATTATATTATGAGTTTTGTAGGGGCTTATGACGAATTAGGGCATTTACAGGTAAAATGTATCCCCATTTATGGAATTTTCGACCTACGAAGGGACTTCCGCGACAAATTAATTTTGTAGGTTGAGTTTCTACTGTAGTTGCAAGCACAAAAAATTTCCTATTGTTTTTGATCTTACAGCATTTACAGTTGATCTTACAGCAATTTCTAAAAAAAAATGCTATTAAAAACTTAGTGTCACACCGACTTTAACGAATTCAGTGAAAAACACGTTTTTATAACATTGTGTTTTTGCAACAGGATTTTGCTAGCTGGTCCCACCAATATGACAGTGGAAATCAGATACCCGTATAGGCTTTGCAACGCAAAGAGATTGGAATTGCTCGCACATACAAGATTAACTGAATTAAAAACTAGTTTCACGGGTACACCATTCAAAATTGCCACTTCACCGTGGGACGCACAATTTTTCTTTGTGGGCTGCAGTTTGCATGCCTTTTTAAACCAATCAAAATGCATGGACAAAATATCACTCACCAGGATAATTTTGCACCAACTCAAGAATGCTTACCTTGATAACAAATATAACATCTGGGATTCTGTGGCTAATAGAAGTCACAATCTTTGAAGACATCCTTACCAAGCAATGATTGTATTGGTTGACATTTGGATTTTAAATTTAAAAATTGGAATATTATTTGATAGAATTAGCCTGAAAATGGCGGTCAGGCTGTTTTAGGTAGTATGGTCAAGAACCACCATTCGAATAATTCATTGCCATGCGATATGCAAATTTCGGTATTTGTATAAACGCATACATAGTTTACATATTGGATCCCCATATGAAAAATTACTATGCAACGCTTGAAAAATCCAAGGCCACAATATAAGTCAGCTCAAGTGTTGGAGTTTTGCAAAATAAGAAGAGTTTCTAGAATATCAGCTTGGATTGACTAGTTGTCAGTCTGGGAAATTATTTAGAATCAACAATTTGCCATACTTGATTGGGTGCAAATTGCATATTGATAAAACAAAAAAAACATCTCGTCACCTTTCATCTTTTGTCTCAATTCCTTATTTTCTTTCTTTGTTTGTTCCATTTCTTGTGATTGTTGACGCATCATCATCTCTAATTGTTGTCTGCTTTTTTCTGATTCTTGTTTTTCTTTCTCTGCTTCATCTTTCTGTCGTTTCAGTTCTTCCACTGTCTGAGGTTGCTTGAAGCCTAATAAATACATAAGCAATACAATTAAGTGAATGAGTATAATAGGACATATTGGAATTCTGAAATTACAATACAAAGCCAAAAAACGTTTTTATCTCAATCAGTCTTGTAATTCCAAGGTTAAAAGGGTTTTACATGACAGGTACAAATATCTTGAATTGTTATCAAGTTAAAACACAACCCCAGCATGCCCTTCAAAAACCCATCAACGACTACTAGTATAAGGATAAGCTATGGACTATTGTATGAAAATTCAATTTTATAATTCAATCAGTTCCTACCTCTGAAAATTCAAATAGATAACTAAGACCTTAAAATGAAATAATTCTTTTTTCTATTTATTATAGCCCTATTCAATACAGCAAATACAGATGACTTACATAGGTTAGGAAATGGGCAAACCAGTTCCCCACCAAAGTATTTATGCTGTCGGATTTGATCCAAAGTAGGTCGCTCTTTTGGAATTCGATGAAGCATCCAGCCGACTAAATCCCTCATCTCACTTTCAAGTTTGCTCAGGTCACATCCTTGATTTTGCATTATAAGGTAACTCCATCCAACAGGGTTATCACCAAATGGGTGACTCCCATCAGTCTCAATGAAATGTATCACAAGTGCAAGTGAGAATACGTCGGCTTGTTTGGATATGACATTGTCATTGTATGTCTCTGGGGCTCTCCAACCATCTGTACCAATGCCCAAAGCGCTCGCTTTGGTGACAGAATGACCGGGTTTCATTTCTTTGCTTAATCCAAAATCTATCACTTTCAATTGCGTTCCATCTTCTGATATCAAGATATTATCTGGTTTTAAATCGCGATGTATGACATTATTCCTATGGATGTGGGCAATGCCATTTACAAGTTGTTGGATGAGTATCTGCTTGATTCTTTTGGTTCGTTTTGAACCTTTTATGAAGTTAGTCAAATTGTCGGGGCCACATAGTTCCATGGCAATGAAAATATGCTTGACTGGGCCAAGGTGATAAATGCCAGAATCTATAATGTTGGCAACGTTCTGGTGAGGGCTGAGTTTGACCAGAATTCTTGCTTCCCTCTCATTTTCCTCGCTGTACTTCAAGGATTTCACAGCAATATCACATTGACCAGACTTTCCATAAATCTTCACACCCTTATAAACATTTCCAAGCTTGGAAATGGACTCGTAATGAAGCATGTAGAGTGAATCAGTCAAACGAATTGAACCTGGAATATAAAACACTTCTTGAGACATTGTACCATAACCAATAGCATGGTAATTACATTTTTTTCAACGATTCAAGCAATTTAAATAACTAAGTTTTCGGTTCAAATCCCATGTTCACCACCTGAACAAGGAAGTAATAACTAGAGCAGGCAATGGAGAACATGTAAGATACCAGTCCTTCCAAAGCAGTAGCTCCTTCACATCAGTGGCTACTTATACAAGGCTTTGTTCAGAGTGTGAACATCTCATAAAAAATCATGACTTCGTTATACAATAGGTCTGCAAATATATATATATAAATGCTCATTCAGAAAATAGTTCATACAATAGCAATCAATGTTCAATTTCACACTTGTCACAGCCCACAGTCTTAGTCTTTTATTAAATATTATGTATCATCATTTTATATTCAATTTCTCACGAGAATACTAAACCTGTTTATGTTGAGCATTGTGAAAATGCCTCAAAAATAAATGTATCTAATGACTTGTATCATTAGGCTGGGCATTGCCCCGAAAATAAATCTTCCAGAAGATTTGAAATATTATCTTGTAATAGAGTACAAACCTGGAATTGGGTTGTTTCTATTTGAACTTGTAGAAGGAGTATCTTCCTCAGATGAGGAATCATCACGTCTTTTCTTTTTATCACCCTTTTGGACTGAGATGTCAGAACTTTTAGAAAAGTAGAAGTCTGTTTTTATTTTATCCCCTGCAAATTAAAAAGAAAATACAAGAAAACATGAATCTCCCAGCAGCTGAGCAGAGTAGGTCATTCAAGATATATAATATTATTTACTGACCTTGGTTTTGATTAAAAACTACGGTGTTAGCTATCACAGCTCCATGCTTTCGGGATTTTTCCATCAGGTAATCCAGACCTCGAGCAAGATTTTGGTCTAAAGCTTGACTTGTGCCAGGTAAACTTAGTGCTTGAGAAGCATTTTGAGATGTTGTGGGATCTTCTCTATCATGAGAAGTTGAAGGTTGGTCTGGTGATTCTGAATCAGAGTCATCTAATTCAATTATATTCGGCAATCTATCCATTTTATTCAGAATTCTTCTTGTTCTAAAATTTACTTAGAATGAACTACGAACACCAGCTATAAAAACAATATTATCGGTCTGTGATTCGAGTCTATACCTGTTTACCCAAAAATAAGACATTGTCTTATTTCAATTTTCTTTCGAAAAATAACACTAGGGCTTTTCGAAGGAAGTCTTATAATTTTATTTATCAAAAATGAAATTAGAATATACAGAATTAGGAGGTTTTCAAATATAAAAACCGATATTCATTTACTGTTTACTCAAATGACACGTTTTCCTCTATCATACGTTTTAGATTGATCATTTGAAACATATGGGAGAGATTTCTTGCCATCGACCAGGTAAAAAAAAAATTGCGATATTGACTACGGTAGGTCTTATTTTAAGGGGAGGGGTTATATTGAAATCATTCTCAAAATTCAGGCTAGGTCTTATTTTCGGGGAAACACGGTAGTATACAGTTGCGGTACCGGTAACAACTTCTGAAAAATTTAATCCGCTAGGATAGGATTAAGTTTCATATTTATCCCGGGGATAGGGAAGCCAATAAAATAGCTAAAATATTACGACGAATCTCGACCTCTCGTCCGATTACCACTTAAATTCAGATATTTGATTAGTTATCCAGGTATTGATTTCAGATGCATGTGGTTACCGCCATATTTTACCCAATTTCCTGAGTACAGTACGGCACACTATCCAAATTCCAGTAATTTCCCTACATTTGGTTCAATAAAACAAACACTCAATGTGTCTCACAAACGAGGGGTGTCTGGCACCATGTCAGATGCATCATATCGCGCCATGCTTGTCTCAATAATAATCTAAATTAATCGTGGCCGCCACATGACCAAAATTGTCGTTTTTTGCTAAAAACTCTTGAATCCCACGGTAGAATTTTTTTTCTTCATTAAATCTGATTATTTTTCCCCGAGGAATTCAATGAGGACGTTATTAGATTGCGCTTCTTTGTAGTATTTTGCGCAACTTCATTATACTGTATTTTTACCGTTATTGAGAGACAACAATGTCCAGACGTCTCACAAATGAGGGGTTTCTGATCATTGGTAAAACGGGTTTCTCCGAAACGAGACAATGTCACCCGATCTGTATAGTGTGCCGTATGGAGTATGGCAACCAGGATTTACAAGATCAATCAAAGATAATTGTAAATAATAACAAAACGATCCATGTGTGTTATTACGTGTCCGATAATAAACACATGTAATTACAATGCCTTCAACTTATATATTGCTCACAGGCTTACGTACTGTAATAATCTAACTAAAGCGGAAAGTCTTGAAGCCAGAACCGAAAGCAGCCATGTTACCATATCCAGTTATTTTTGTGTGATCCTATTCCACTAATAGAATAGTCCCCCTACGATTTGTATCCAATATGGCTCAGTAGGCTACAACCAAAGTGCCTATAACCTATAGACACTTTGGCAATAACCACCAGCTTTTGATCGCTGTTGGCAACGAGCTTCATTCATTTCTTGTTACGGTCCATGAACGCACAGTTGAACCCCACGAGGGCGCTGTCGCGTGTATTATTACTCTGGTGATAATTTGTTTTTCTGTTAATTTTGATTGATTAAATTTATATAATTTTCCTGTCATTCCCTCTAAAACTTCTTGTTACGGTCCATGAACGCACAGTTAAACCCCATAAGGGCGCTCTCGCGTGTATTATTACTCTGGTGATATGTTCTGATTTTGTTTTTCTGTCAATATTGATTGATTAAATTTGTATAATTTTTTTCTCATTCCCTCTTAAACTTCAGCCCACAGGTGTCGCTGACTTGATGACTGTCACAGTCTTTCGCGACTCCTTATCTATTGCTATGAATATCTCACTTGTATGAATTCTTATGTGTATAATTACATTTTTACGATTTTCATTATACACGTTTGTCATTTTTTCGTGCTTTAATTTTTGTGTTGACTCTTGCATGATGGAAATAAATTATCTGAATCTGAATCCATAACGATCGACTATCTTTTCCAGATCCGATGCTGGGGGTGGTGTTGCCGAGAGTCTAAAAAATCACAAAACCCCGTAGTCGTAGTCACCTGAATAAGTATGTAATATCTACTAACCTTAAATCTCGAAGTAAATCGCCATTGCACGTTTGTTTGGAATGAACATGACAATTGACAACCCAACACAATCGGACAGTATTATTTGTAACGTCATAGGGGACAAGTGGTGTACGAATATACGGTATTATTGCGTAATAGTCACCCTCTAGAGGTTGGTTCGTTCTTATGCGAAGCTCAACATCGATTCAGACATCAAGTCGCGTTTTGCGAAGAAAGAGTTCTACGTAAATATTGTGATATGCGCTTGACGTTGGAAATATGCTAAACAAAGTGACGATGCCGGATTATTTGACATTTGACTACTTCGACGTAGTTTAATTTTGACGTAGAAGTACACAGAACGCCGGGAGCGACTGAAGGCACACGGTGAAAGGGTCAGTGCACTATATGAAAACATATTCCCATCATATTTTCGTAATCGATCGGCGTGAAGAGTTGCATGCTGACCGACAGTTACCGTACTTGAACCACCAGTGGCGTAGCATCCACCCCCGCAACCCCCGCGGTCTCGGGAGGGCCCACAGCACAAAGAGGCCCAGATGGTTAGAATTTAGAAATTTAAGCCGCAAACCAAAAGCTGCAGTGCAAAACAAGTAATGCACATCTTATATCGTTGATGTTAGTTCTGCTCAAATCATTTTGTTACGTAACAATGCCATGGAGTCGTTGATTTTCGCCGTCTTGTGGTTCGATCGCACCGGCAAAACCTCTCAGAATGAAAGAACCCTCAGAATGAAAGAAAAACCTCTCAGTGGCGCACAGAAACGCAGAAGAAGGGCAGAAGAGGAAGAACGAATGGAAAAAAATAAAGTAACGAAGATAAACGGCAAATTTTAGGTTACAATTGCCTTTTTAAATAGCGACATGTTATGCTTTTTGACGAAATAAAAAAAAAAGCGTTGTTTTAGCTTATGTCCGAGAGTTTTTAGGGTAATTTCCACGAAATATATTTCCACGAGTCTTGCTACGCCACTGTGAACCACCCTGAAAAATTGAGAAACCCCGCAAATATTTCACTCACAATTAACTGAAGGCTTTCGAACCTGCGAACTCAATCCGGAGAAGAGGAAATCCGATAAGATGGCTCAATCATTTGGCGAACCACGGCCTATCGCCTGGTTACCAGTTATTACCTCTGAGGTATACACCTCAATGGTTATAACGGTCCGCAATCAGACATTTGGATTCAGAGTTTTCGTTGGAGTTGGAGCCTGAGTCATATTTTCGGCAGGGTTGAAATTCTAAATTTGTCGGAGTAGAAATCTCAGATTTACAATAATAATAAAAGATGCCATGTCTGCAACTTTTTTGACCAGCGGTCACATTAAACGTCCTTCGGTGGCGAGGAGTCATTTCGCTGCGAAACCGCTCATAGCAATTAGAGGTGCCATGGCGAGCGTACTCCTAACGCTTAGCTTACACACAGTGCCATACCTCCGAGCCGAATAAACTACGTTGGCGGGTTACCGGAACGCCCAGTCCGTTGTCAAAAGTGTTGATTTTTACATGTTCACCAAGCTGTATGTGCCCCAAGATGGCGCACAACCTAAACATAGTATGTGTACCAGATTAGGGATCAGGTTGTGCACCATCTTGGTGCACATACATCTCGGGAGCGCTGTGAAATCAACACTAATTGGTCCTGTTCTGAGGTTTACGGGATGTAACATTGAACAACGTCTTTTTAAAGAAGGTTTATCTACAAAAAAACATGCTTGTCGGGCTATTAGTAAATTCTGAATGCTTCAAAAACACAGACTATTTCATTATTCTTTCTTCCTTTTGCTGTTCAAAAAAATCTAAATTCGGAATATTTGTATCGTTAACGGCAAGCCTTTTTTATTTTTCGAACTGAACCCGATATTTGGACAGAGAATATGCGCATGAATTCTCGATGACAATATGATCAACGAAGAGAGCTGGGTGGCTTTAGATGCAGGCCTATGTAATAAAATCGAAAAATGTAAAGTTACAAAATCACAGGCAAGGGATTGTTTGTCTTGGGCGTCCCGCTTCGAAGTCACAAAAATATGGTAAACCTACCTTGGTGATGACCGTTATTGTTTCCCCAGCATCGGTAAAATTGATATTTAGGCGGTCGCTCAGACTATGTGCTATATTTTATCAGTTTTATTAGTGTTTCTGATATTTAGACGTAAATAAAATGACTCTTTTACGCCTGAAAATTTCTCCTTGCACTTCAACCATTGACTACCTTTTGTGCTCCTTTTAGGAGTATTCTACGAGCTCGCATTCGCAAATTGTGTTAAAATCAATATTTTGTTCTTAAAAAACTGAGCGGTTGCCAATAAAATACTGAACCTAGTCCAGTAATATATCCAAGCAGTTTCGTAATCGTTTTTTCGCTTCGATACTCCGATTAAACCAAGGTTTCTGCACGTGACCCAGCTTTAGGCAATTTTATTTTATAGGAGGCCAAAATGACCGCTTGATTTGACCCTATATTATGAAAAAGAGTCATGCTGGAAATAGCGTCTGATTAAATTTCATTTATTGCCTTTCCGTCACCTTTGCTGTTTAGCTATTGTTTCTGAAATAAACTAGGAAGTCCGTTCCCAGGGAAACGTTCATTACATTCAACATTTTGAGCTATCAATTTGACGCGGAACACATGAAGGCCTCTCTCACGGAACACCGGTTGAAAATCACTGGTATAGACAGTATATGTAACGACTTTTTACTGCGTCCCAGTCCTTGATTACTAAATCGTAAAGGCAGTTTCGGTATGTCACTTCAACATATTGAAATTTAGACGTATCCGTGCATCTCGTTTAAACACATTTACAGGAGAATGAAAATCAACCTATATTTTCGTATCTTAATTAGGCCCTCTTGAGTTTGCTTCAAGCTTTAACTTTAAAATAAATTCCAATTGTATTAGAATAAATGAATCCAGTCGAGCGAGTATCAGCTGTGATGATGGGTTCACTGGGCCTTGAAACTACAAAGCTTGATATAAAACCAGTGATAGAACGATTGTCATGGGATTTAATTAAGGTGGACAGGTCAACCTTGTGCTTGTTTGTGGGTGTTTCATGGAGATATTGACGGCAATATGGCAATGATTAGTTAAAATTTTGGTGATAATCATTAACAATATATTAGAAAAAATAAAATATGAGCATGTGAATTTCATTAAACAAAGATGGAGATATATGATTAAATACAAGCCTTCACCCACCACCACATTGGGGGTGGATATTGGGTAGATTAAAAGCATGAACTGTGGCTCCAGTTTCTTTCCATACTGAGTTGTTGGAGTTGGAGAGAAAAGTCAAAATTATATATAAATTAAAACATCCAACATCGAAGAGACAACTGAAAGTCAAATAATTTATTATGGGTAAGTATGATGATACATAACATGCATTGAAGTTTTTCATTAAACTAAAGTGAGCTTCCACTAAATCACAAGTATTTTTCTGAATCATAAAATTTGACTTCAAAATCTACGATTATCAGTCAAACAATATATTATGGATATTTTTGAATATTCTAGTTTTTAAATTCTGTTCCAAGCTTTTTTATTTTGAATAAATTTCATTAAAGCAGCTACGATTTTTCAAAAACATAATTATACTTATCACGGCTTTGAAAAAATTCAAATGCTCTCACATGAATATGCAACGAAATTTAATTTAATCTTTTATATACTTTCGAAAACAAAGTACAAATTACATGCATTTAAAGGTAACTCAATTGCATACTAGAAATTAACAGGCTTCAAGTAGCTTGGGAATTACTACAAGAATAATTATAACCTTGAGGTGCATTTGGCAAAAAATTTCGTATTTAAATTATGTAATTCACAACAATTAAATATGGAGAAATAATTGAAGAAAAATATAAAATTATTAGTTGTTGCTAACAGATGTCAATATGAAATTAATATTATACAATTGATTATTTTCACATATCACAAAAATGCATTTACACCGATGCAGACAAAATATTTTAAATGGAAACAGGCCATATATGAAATGCTAGTGCAGAGATGCGAAAATAAAATCTGCTCCAACTGGAATTTTGTACATCTCAACAGCTGAAATTAATAAAACAAAATTCCCGCTAGTATTACAGCTGATAATGATGACAATTTTCCTGGTAGATAGGAATAACAAGTTACTAAAAAATAGGTAAAGTATTCATCAAACCGGTACATCAAATTGTTTGCATAAGTAGTGAGTATTATGAATAAACAATAGCTTTATAGTATTAAATTGCATAAGAATTAGCAAAATATGAATTACTATGAAAACAAAAATATGAAATGAAAATAAACATATAGGAAATTAACATTATAATCATGTAACATTGAAAAATACTAATATCCAGAATTACTTAATCTACTACAGATAGACAGAGTTGATAAATCAACCAATGTCGCATAAAAGATTTATCCATGTATTATGTACAAGTGACTCGTAACATTAACATTCAAATGATTGAAATAAATAATATAATAAGTAATAGTAAAAGGGGATTTGTCTAAAAAAATTGCATATTTGAATTATATAATTGACAACAATGAAATACGAGATCTAAATCTAAATAATTATTTTTTGCCAGCAGAAGTAAATATGAAAGTAATATCAAAATATAGCAAGAAATATAAAATCAATGTAAATTGCTGAACCATGATTAAATTTTAAAATGATAAGTGATTGGAATAGCGATTATGGATCTCCCTTTAGGCAAAATAAAGTCACATATAGTCACTCTCCAATCATGGCTAATGAAGTCGAATTTGCAAAGAAAAAATATTGAATAAATATATTGAAAAATAATCCGTGGACAATTTGAATTGCGTATTTTATAAATCAAAATTATACAGGGACCGCTCAAATATAGTTAGAGCATATAGTTTACAAAAAAGCATTGGACAAAATTAATGGAGGCTATTATGGTGGGATTATCTGGTTGGTTACAGCTCCCCCTGCCAAGCAAATTCATGATGATACATCTGAACATAGATCAGATTTTGGTAACCGGGCTGATAGCGGAGTGCTCAACTAGCCTTCTCGCCAGGATAAATACAAAACTTATATATCGCAATTATCACTGGCCCACATTTCTGTGACATCACAATGATAGAAAGAGTATGTAAAGAATCAGCGTCTCCAGCACTGATTACAAAGCAGCAAAAGGCGACAAATGTGTATTTGCAAATTTGAGCACTCAATTCTTGTATTATCTCAAGCTATAAGCCACATAATAGATTTTTTTGGCGGACCCTCCAAAGTGCTTCATGAACCCAAAAGGTCAGCTGACCCCAGTTTGGGAATCACTGAGTTAGTTAAAGTAAAACTTGTGAGAGTTAGTCAAAAACTTGACTCAAATCATCATTTTTTTACTTTTCCAAAGTCTTGAAACATCTTTATCCAGAATGATAACATAATTGAGATGGGACTGAATAACAGTGATAGAATAAAATATATAAAAACGGGTCAAATATGTAAACAAAGTATATTTTGACTCCCAAATCAGCATAACAACAATACCCGAGTCAGGAAATCAATCTACAAATAGGTAAATGTAAGCAAAAGCATGAGTTTAATAAATTTAGCGAAATTATTGTGAATAATTTTAAAATATAAAAGGCACGTGTTTCCTTCCCCACAAACGAAAGAAAATGAAAATCACAAATGAGCACATGTTTGCTCACCTATAAAAGAATGAATACTAAGAGCGTGATAAAAAAATTCATTCTCTCTTACAGATTTGTAAACTCTGACCGACCGAATCTTCTCATCCTTACTCAAAAGATTAACAACATAACAGAATCCTACTATAAGAGTAAATTCTGAAAAAAGCAGCTGAAAGCAATTAGGATGGAATTAGCCAGATGTGGAAGGATGAACTGATTTAAATGTTTGTTCATACAGTAGATGTATTATAAGAAAATATATACATATATGAGATATGCAAAATTATCATGGAGTTGATCAACAATAAAAGAATGAAACAGATAAAAACGATGAAAAACTGAGAAAATATAAATTGTTGGTTTTGAAAATTCTGACTAATTAACCTTGATTAACAGTATAGAGTTTGATTTAAAAACGAAAGGTTGAGTCAAATCCGACTGATATTGCAGTTCATCAAACATTATAATATTCAGTAAGTGGCATAATGAAATGCTTGATAATGACAATATAAAATCAATGGAAGGGTTCTAATATTATATTGTCCATGTAGAGTCCAACATCCATTGTTGATTTTGTATTGTTAGTATTCAATTTCTACACAACTTTTACAAGATAGCTATAGGTAGTTCCGGTAGATTTAGATGAATTTTCCACCCCGTTCAGGCAATTTGGGGTCTGTTCCGGTAATGACGGAAACTTATTTTTTACCACTGTACCCCCAAAGTTTGCTGTTTTATCTTGAAAATTGCCTTGAGATATATAAAATGTCCTGTCATTCTGACTGATATTGCAGTTCGAACTTTATAATAATTATAAGTGGCTTGATGAAATGCTTGATAATGACACTACAAAATCAATGGATGAGTTTTAATATAGTATTGTCCGGATAGTGTTGAACGTCCATTGTTGATCATATATTGTTATTATTTAATTCATGCTGCCTTAAATTTTGTTATCAATGCATCACGAAGTTTTTTATGATGGTTAGAATCAGGATATCCATTGCTGAAAAAGATTAGATTGCATGAGAGATAATGGTAGTTGCATATGAGTCTGATTTCAATTAACTGTAAAAAATAAGATGTTCGATAAATGAACAATGAAAGTCACAAATATTTGACTCCTTAGTACTAAGGAATGCTTAACTTAGCAATGCCTGTGTGAGTGAGATTTGAATGTAAGGTTCAGATGTGTAAAGAGAATATCAAGTCAACTTTACTCGTAGGTAGAGATGAATGTCTAAACAGGTAATTTTTTCAGGTATTTGATTTCATTGATACTGTACTAAAATATGAAACATCAAAATCACTAACTAAGCCCAACACCTTATCCATGGTGCAAGGGAAGGCTTCGTCGAACATTGATCATTTTAGAGTTTTGAAACCGAGTAATTCCCCAAAGTCTTATTGTCTGCTTGAACAGAGCACTGATCAAACCGAAGTTGTAAAAACACTGAATAAAATATATATTCATGATGCGCGATGGCATAATGGTTGAAGCGTTAAACTTAATTGGATTGGCATCGCAAACTGCATATCTTTTGTTCAAATCTAGTGGCCATCCCCCTACCCAAAATATTGGGAGGCAATGCCGAACCAAAGAAGAAACTAGTTCTGCCAAATATTAGTAGCTCCTTAAATATTGCTACATATCAGGGGAAGCTTAAACAGGGCTTTGTTCACAGCAAAATGTGTGGATAAGCGTCGTATATATAAAAGCTCAAAGATCTCGTTTATAATATAATTTTAAGAATAAGCAGTGTAAGTGCAACTATAATTTATATGTTGGATGCCCAATGAAACATTGACAACAGAGAAGCAGAAAATTTAGTCGTTACTGGAATACGGATCAAATAGTTACAAAATTGGGCAATCATAATTCCAATGACAGATGTGACAACAGAGAAACCTAGTAAACAACAGCTGGTCGTTGAAGAACCTGGTTACAGTCACGTTTCAAACAATTCAAGCCTGAATACCATAATGGTTGATTCTAATTGTCACTAAGAAATTACCCTCAGTCACATGCACCCTAACATTTTGCAACAGCTTGACAAGTCATGGTCAATATTTATCAGGAATAGAAACGTTTCCTGATCATCCCAGGCCCATCAACTGAAATTGATGGATGCACTGGTTTCTTATATAGAGCCTTGTTCAGAGTGAAAGGTGTATAATGGATGTGTATAAACAAATTTAAATGTTGCTTGAAATCAAGAGAGGAAAGTTGAGAACATTGTACTTGATTTTACCTCAGACAAGGCATGATATCTGTGGTTGAGCGGTTACAAATGTCACAAGCTGGATGGATGGTTATGGGATCAAAATCGCAACCCAAAGATGCCTTTCTTTGATTTATAAATAAAGTTAGCAAAACAGTGGTTGACACATATCATGACTTTTCACGCACACTAACTTCGCATAAAAGGTCAATGTCGAAAATAAATATTGATTTGGCTGATCTTATTTTTGCAATTCACATTTTTCCAAAAGTTTGTTTCCACAACTCACTGTTACTTCATATAACTTACTCGAGGTTCCTTTTAATCCTTATACCAGGGGTTCCCAAACCAGGGGTCCCGACACCAAATTGGGTCGGAGTGATAAGTAGGTAGTGTCGCAAACATGTCTTGGGGTCGCTGAGGTAAGATATAGGATGGATGTGCAAAACATCTAAGATTTGACAAACCATGTTAAATTTAGCAGTTTGTACCGTGGCTTACAATAAAACAGGCCCATAGGCATCGCTCTATGCTTATGCTATAGAAAATGTAGGTGCTTATTGTGACATCACTGTTTGGTTTTAGCTTATTTTACTTAATACCACCACATGACCAAACTCAAAAGTCCAGTGAAAGAATCTCTGAAGCAGTATTTCCCAACCCGAGTTCGCGGTCTCAAATAAGTCTGCGGAGCGTTTAAATGAGTCCACAACGAGCCAGAAATTCAATGCGGGCCGCAAACGTTTTTGCGAAACTTAACTATCAGCCAAGTTACGATTTACGTTAGAATTTACATAAAACATAAAAGCAAGTTTATTCACATAACAGTAACCGAGTCAATAATTACTGGTTACTGAGTAGGGCTGGGCATTTAATAAATTAACAATAAACTATTAGAATAGCAATTTACTAATCGAAAATTTGGTAACACGTGACGCGACAGGTCGCTTCGATAGATACCTAAGTGGTGCTTCTCGCGAGTTTGAACAACGAGTAATAAATTTTTTCCCGGTAGGTGTCAATGGTGGCAACCCCAATTTTCTAAATTGAAAAGCGGCAATACAAAATACTAAAACGAAACTGAGAAAAATCATAAGTGGTGTTTTATGATGGTCACGACCGATTAAAAACGCTTTTTAAGACATTGCAAATCGCATAATTCCGGGTTCTACCGTAGTACACTTTCCTAGGCAGTTTCCCTTCGAATACTTTGCTTTACTGCCTCCACATTGGTACGTACAGTACTGGAGCGCCGTGAGTGTTGCACGAACAGCTCAGATTTGTCGAATTCACTAAAATAGGAATCAAAACAAAATATAATCGGTAACTTTACCACGCATTTTGATGTCCACGGATTGTCATGGTATTTTTTGAGAAGTAATTCATTCGTTTAATCAACACAACCACAGATTAAAATGATCACAATTAAATTAATAATAAAGCAACCCATCTCAAAAATGTCGGTATCGGTCATGAATTGAATATTTTATAAAAAAATCATTGAAAAGTCGTTTTTTTTATTGAGTGACGTATACGCGACTATTATTTCAGAAGTCGTTCCGCGAGAATTTCAAGGCGATGAATATGTATTTTTGTGTTACTAATATACTTTTACTATATATATATTTTAAGTACTAAATCAAGTTGTACTTTCTAGAAATTTATAGCAGATAGTAGGATTTTTTACCGAACACGTAATTGCGGCGAATTTCCGAATTTAAAATTCTGTTGTGTTTGGTTTCATTGCTTTTTCACACAGATTTCGTTCGCATTAAAATCACCTTGAGTCCGCAAAGGTTTTGGCCGATAAGAAAATAGTTCGCGACCAAAAAAGGTTGGGAAACGCTGCTCTAAAGTTTCATGAAAAATTTATATAGATTGACTTGGGGTCGCACTGGACACTTGAATGTTGTCTTTGGGGTCGTCCCGAAAGAAGCTTGGGAACCCCTGCCTTATACCAATCGTACAGATGTTAGATTATTCAAGTGAACAACTTACTTATTTGGGCCTCCTTTTTTGTTAGTCTTATGAGGAATTTCATCATTCCATATTATCTCTCCTCTGTTGCTTCCAATTATCTGAATCTTGAAGAGCAATCCTGCATTGAATGCTTTCTGAAGCAAGTCTGTTGTGGAATGGAAGTAGTCAGGCAAATATTCAGTGAATTCCTTTGCCTCATATGAAACACCCTGCAAAAATAAACATAATAAGATATTCAACTTCTATCTCTGATAATTTATTAAAACTGATATAAACACAGGTGCTCTAGAAGTATGCGCATCAAGATGTCGCACAACCTGAATCCTAACCGGTATACACATACTATGTTCAGGTTGTGCGCCATCTTGGTGCGCATACTTCTGGAGGTCCAAAGCTTTAAACTAAAATTTCTGCAACTCAAGATCGTTTCGAATAAATTTAACAATTCCTCAGAAGCATACAGTTGCAAAAGCATTTTTAGGTGATTTTAGTTCGGATGTTTTCAAATACTCGCTCTGAACAAGGCACAAAACAAGCAGGCACTGATACGTAAATACCTTAATTGAACGATTGGAATCTTTCTCACTAAACATTGACTATCAAAACATTTGATTTCTAGGTCAGGAGGAGGGCACACATTTGAACCAAAGATGTTTTACATGTGCAAACAAGTAAAATATCCTCAGGAAACATATAATCAGTGGCACCTTGTTCAGAGTTGCCTTCACACAACATTTATTAAAAAAAGTTTTAATTTTTCATAAAAGAAATCAAACATAATATATATATGATTGGGAGCAGAGTTAGAATATGATGACACTAACATATTACTGATACACAAAAAATCCACTGATATGTAAGAGGTTATTTAGGAAAAAACAAAAGGACCAACATTTTTCCAAGCAGAGCATTGCTTGCCAATTTATTTATATACATCGTTGGTGAGATCGTCGATCTGGGATTTGAAGATTAATGTGAAGAGAAGTAGCCAAACTACGTTGGCATCACAGGTTAATAATCTTTGATTCAAGCACATTACCCAGTGTATAATGAAATAGGTAGGAGTGTAAGATAAATTAGGTGACAATGCAACCAGAAAGATTTCAGTACTACAATAAATAGTAGTGCTGCTCATACATAGCCCTGTTTGGAACAAGACATGACAAACGTTTCATAGAAAAAATTCATATGGTAAGTTTGCCATTTTAGGCGCTTGGAATTTTATAGTCGGACAAAACTATCAGACTTATAATAAATTATGATGATTACTGCCAAAATGAAATACCTAATTTACTATTTCATATAAATTCTTAAATAATAAATATTTTTTCCAATATTAAATATATTTTAAATTGGGCCATGTCCAACAAGAGTGAAAATCACTGTATTTATGTGGAAATTTAATTCAGTAATGCAGAATAACTGATATAAACACAGCTTGGATTGATTTTTGCAATTTGCAATGTCAGATTTTAGAGAAAGTCATACGATTTTTTTCAATAATCAAATGCTTTAAAAGACAAATTTTGGAATGAGAACCTCATATCAAGAATTTGCTCTATGTAATATAAACAATTGTGAATATATATTCATTTATTTTGGACATCAGCACTGGTAGAGGTAAATTCTGCAAGAGGCTATTAAACCAACATAAAAAACTGCTTTTTAGAAACATCTGAAAAAAGCGCTGAGGTGTTGTGATGGTCTTGTGGTTATAGTATTAGACTTAGCTATGTTGTATCATAATTTGAAGGTCTCAAGTTCAAGACCCATGCCCACTGCCTTGTCCAGGATGTAATAACTTAAGTAAGGAATGCCGAAACGAAAAATTACATTCCATCCAAAAAATAGTAGCTTAATATGCATTAGTGGTTGCTTGTGCAGAGCCCTGTTTGAAGTGAACAATATAATAACAAAGGTGTAATTAAAATCCAATTGCTATTTGGGGCCCAAGAAAATTGTATTTGGAAGATTTAATGTTAAACATAATATTAATGTAAAATAATACAAACTACAGAATCCTGGTTCCAGTAAATACATAATTTAATATTGAACCAATTGAATTCATTACATGACTCACATTCAGACTTCCAGCAGGGAATGAGTAGGAGATGGCATGAGTGTTCCATCCATATCCTGGCAGTGGTTCACTCGACATATCCACTGACATTCTTCCACGAGGTGGTTGTTGGTTGATGATTCTTAGACCAGATGAAGTAGCTTGACTTGAAGACTGAGATTCTGTAAATTGAGAATTATTTTAGTGAAAGATGATCACAAGACATGATTCTGATTACGCTTAGAATAAAACAATAGGGCATTTCGTAGAGCTCGACCGATATATCGGCCAACCGATATATTGGGCCGATATTGCGTGTTTGCCGATATATCATATCGGCCCAACCGGCCGATATATCTGGCCGATATATATCAGCGTTAGTCGCTTTTCCACGTTCTAAAAAATGAGTATTTTTCCCCGGGAAATATCTGCGGCCGAGCGTTTTCATTTTTTACGCTTCTCTCAATTTGCCTTTCAATGAACAGAGGGTTCTCTTCTATATTTCTCTCTTCGTGCGGCGCAAAATCCTCGCCTTCGAATATCTTGCGTCCCCACTAGGCTTGCACGTAATCGACAAAAATCAATTCCGTAATTACGGAAAAATTGATTACGTAATGACCCCGTAATTGCGATATTTTTTCACACGTTTAAACCTATCATAAAAACCTATTGAATCCACTTCTTTTCCGAATGGGACACCGAAGTTTGGTTTTCATAATACCGACAGTACTACACGCCGGCGACAGATGTTAAAGACAAATACCAAGGAGTGAATTCAAATTAAATTTATTCTGATTTTTATCTTGTTTAATTGTGTTGGCTTTGATTTTCCTTTATCACGTTCGCAAATTAACCGTCCCAATTTTATGCGATCAATTTTATCATTACCGATAATGGTATACGGATATTTATGAAACGATAGTTGCCTTTTTTAAAATCGACTTTCGTATTGAATAAAAATTTCGGGTTTCTAAGTTATTAATCAACGACGAGCGTATTTTCTCGTTTGATTATACCTGCGCTTGCCTCGCGACGAAGACTTGTTATTGCTCCGTTTTTTTACATTATCCGACTTTGCTACCTAGTTAGCATTTTATAATAATTACTGATGCTGAATTATTGACGATATCCCGATTACCAAGCTCCATTTTATATCAAATCATTTCGCGGCCTAAATGTTATAACATTATTTGCGATAAATTTAAATCAAATAATAATTATTTAGCCGGCGATAAATTCTTACCCGTAACTTGTTGTAAATTAATGCTAATAAATTCTATTTTGTTTTTTCGTGCGCTGTGATTTGTATTAATAAAAGTGATTGAGTCGGGAAAAGAAAGTAGCCCACCCTCCTCTCCTTTTGAGCGCTTATAGCGGCGGTAAAATTCGTTTCATGTCTGTTTCACGGAGAGAAAGAAAAATACGCCTTCCGGAATTACAATCAACTATCACACATTCTTATTTATCATTATCAGCGCCGAATAAAAAAGATACCAAATCGTGAAGACAAAAAAGTCTGTCGGTGCTAATTGCGTTACGGTTATAACGCTTATAATAATATCGTTTTGACCGTGAAACCAAACGCTCAAACGGAGTGGCAACGCGTCATGTCGGCTCAAAACGGCTGCGAATACCGGAACACGTTAACTTCTTCTACTTGTTAAACTTTGATTTTTTACAATCGACGGAATTGACTGCTTGGAAGGGGCACGTTTCAAACGCGAAAGCGCTCGACCAATAATTACGACTTTACGTAATTTGTAACTTCCCTTCCTTAACTCCAAACAATTCCGTAAATTACGTGCAAGCCTACTCCCACCTACTACTGTATGGATCAAAATGGACTTCTATAAGCTTTTTACTGACTGCCTTTTTTCTCTTGTGCATTAATGTGTGTTCTTATTATTTGCTGCGAAACTTTTATTAATGATGCAAGCACTGTGTAGGACTGCTTTATTTTTCAACATAAAATTTTGATTGACTGAAACTGAATGTTTCTTTCTATTTGTGTTTACTGCGGGTTCGAGTTGTAGATATCGGTATGTCAATATCGGTTATCGGTCACTAGTTGGCCGATATATCGTTATCGGTATCGGTGCCAAAAAGTGATATCATTCGAGCTCTAGCATTTTGTAATATTATATATATAAGCCCTTATGAAATCTTATGAGCCCCCACGACAGTGCTTGGCTCAAATTGTGTAATATATTTTTACTAATGCTTTTGCATATGAGTAATATTGAATATTTTATAAGAATCTACTATTATCTGTAAGTAACGACATTGCCTGCCCAATCTGTTACACCATGGGTGAGGTGTGGGATTTGAACCAGGGAGGTGTAATCTGAAATGGCAACGGCTAAGCCCAATGCTTCAACCACTGCGTCATCACCAACTGGATATTGGTTCGTTTGATTTTAATCTTGTTACTTTTAAATCATAGGTACCAGAAACTCGAGTGGAGTTGAGGTATCCTAATTATGTTAAATATCAAACCAGTATTTATATTGTCTATGGATTAACACTAATTTCAATTAGCCTACATATATTCTGAATTGGAATAAATTCTAAAACAATTAATAAGAATTACATCTTTTATTTTTTTGAGTTGTCTTGAAAATAACATTTTATTCAAAAACATCAATTTAATATAGCAGAACTTCCTAAATATCTCTTCATTGAAGCGTTTTTGTGGGAGAAGTGGAGTCGGAGTACTTGTATAAAATATCATATTATAAAAAAGATTTTTGCCATTAATGCAAAAGCTTTATCTCCCATGTCTGACCACATAACTTATAAGTTATAATTTTAGCAAATATTGCTATGTAATGAAAAATTGGGTTATAAAATTACTCGCACACAGCTATTTGATAAAGTTTATACTCGCATGCAAATTATTTGTCAACTTTATCATTTTTCCATTCAAAAACGGAAAAATGGCGATTTCGTAGTCTGCAGCTTTTTACAAAAAAGAGATTCAGTAGTGAACACTGCTCATCAGAATAATGTCATACTAACTGAAGTATGCCTATGGGACCATGTCGAGCCATGAATATAACATTTGTGCTTCTGTAAATAATTGACGTCATGTCTTTTGAAGGCCCCTGACCATTTGCAAGATTTTGGAATTAAGGCTTGACAATTTTTTGAAGTACAAGATTGAAATTTGGAATTGGGTGCCATTCCCCTTATCTAGAAAGGTCCTTCATGTATACAACAGCGTTCGTACCAGTAGAATTGTAAAAGTTTTATTTTTTTAATGACATCAGCGTGAAACCATTATATTAATCCTACAGTATATCTTACAGCCTTGTTATGCACAGGTGAAAGATCCATGACTGGTAATGCTGCTAAAAATTTGCCAAAAACACCATTCAAATCTTAAGGTCATGCAGACTTGCAAATTTTGATATTTGTAGGATTTCCTCGATAATAACAAATGACAACCGCGAGAAACTAGTTTTATGTTTGTTCAAGTTTTAGGAGCTACTTGTTTATAGCCTTGTACAAAAGTAGGAGACGAGATATATTGTACAAGAAACCCAACCTGTAGTTTTAGATCTTGCTCCTGATGATGAATTCCCCTGCTTATGCTGATGCTTCGGTCTTGCAGAACGTGAAGTTGCAGGCTGCTCATCCAGGCTTCGGCTCTCTAAATGTTTAATAATGTTTAGGCCTCTAATATATATGAATTTTTTTTTTATCCAAGAAACAAAACATTGTATAGTTAAACTGAATGAGCCCAAAATTATGACTACCGGTAATTATATTAATTTTACAGGTCTCCAATTCATAATTTGAATACTGCTTGAAATGCTGTGGACATAAAATTTATATTCATAGAGGCAAAAAAATGACAACAGTCACTTATAATCATGATGAATGCCAAATCAGTATCAATTTTGAAGAAGGAAGACTGAAATATTACATGATATTCACCGTTTTGTTAATAGTGTTTGCACATTTAGTGTTATAATAGTACATGTATATGCTTAAAATTGCAAACTGTGCGTGACACTTTGGGGATCGAACAAATGAAGGAAACACGATAATTTATGCATAGTGAAAAGATCAGAGAGATTTGGAATATACAATAACAGGAATAGATTAAAAATAATTTGGAACCGCACTGGCCTAAGCCTATAACCAGTTCGGCCTATATCAGGTAAGACAAGTATTACATAATTATTATTTATTTTATTCATTTGGGCAAAATTTAAAATATCTAAATATCTTAAAATATTTAAATATCATTTTTTTGTGTCATCAAATTTTTCATAACCTTATATTTTTACACCATTCGAAGCAGAACATTAAATAAATTCTGGCAAATTGAGGAGAACTGGATGAGATTTTCTGATGTGCGATAAATGTCCAACATAAATTTTCATTTCCTCGATTATACATTATCATGAGTAGGTGACTTTCGGCAATACAAAAATAATGGAGCTTTCCCAGCACGAATTGCCTTAAAAGACTAACTTCTGAAAATTTATTTATTTTTGTTCTCTGAGTCTAATTTAAAAGTACATTGTTTAAGAGTATTTGGTACAAATTAATTCACGTTATGGCATTAATATTTCCTCACTCTGTTCGATTTCTGCACCTCCTTCGATACTGATGCCAACAGCTTGACTTCCTGAAAATAAAAAAAAACAATGGGATTAGTCAAGAAACATTGATTTGCCGATATTTGGAGTTGAAAATATGCTAACAAAAACATCACGTATGTAGTTATCTAAAATATTTATAATCTTGAAATACTAAGGATGACTATTATAAAAGAATTCAATATCATATATTGGTAGAAAGAATTTGATAGGACTGACGATTGTGTATGCAACAAACCATGGCTGTTGTCTATCTGTTTTCAATTGTCAGACAGGTTAAATTAGACAGCAGATGACTATTATGTAATGACAAGGATTGAATTAAGAAATTTCGTCACAGAAACATCTCCCATGGGATGTGAACCCACATAAAGTGAGGAAACAATTGTTCAATTAAATATGGATCAAATATTCTCACCTTCAGTATTTCTGGCATTATTTGCATCAGAAGCTCCGGAAACGGTGCCAGCTCCAACCATAATATCTAGGAAAAAATTAAGTCATATTCATAGTTTGCTAGTAAAAGTGGATAATGTAAGTGGCCCTACTGTACATTGTTAAGAGAATGGCCCAATATGAATCTCACGGAAGAAAAGCAAAAACTCGAATATCAGTTATCACAAATCCCGTTTTTATTTGTATATTAAAATTTTAGCCTGAAAATAGTCAATTGAACTCTTTACTTTTTCTTATTTATATATTGCAATTATATACAAAATAAACATATATTTTAGCAATACCTCCATGAATTTGAACGATATTTTTGAAGACAGGAGTTCGATTGGGAGAGTCGTCATAGTTGTGTTCTGAAGATTCTTTTTCTGAATTTAAATAAAAATATAAAATCAGTCAACAATTGTACGTGTGATAAAATAAGTTTATTGCACAACTGCAGACATGATATAGATACAAATATGACCCTACGCTACAGTCTGTTACAGTAAAACAGTACCACCGTGTTTGCAACTTCGTATAATATTGAGATCGCTTATGCTTAAGGGGAACAATTTTTATTATTGCACACAAAAAAACAAATCTATCGAAATGAATAAAAATAAACCTTCTAACGAAAAATAATTCTTCAACAGCTGAAAATTTCCAAGCTATGGGTAGTAGTAGAGAAAAGTTATTTTTCATGCGGTAGGAACAACAAGAAAAATAATAACATGATGATCTATAACAACAACATAATAACAAAACGATCTAAAGGACCACTTTGTGCCCAAAGATTAGTAATTGAAATACACAAATAATTTTTTTGACTCGTATGAAACTGTCAACACCTGTTAGGATTTCTCAAATCTTGGGATTCAAATTTCTAAGAACATCTTTTTGTATCGTACAAATGGTTATTTTGTTGTGGTCATGTAAAGTCTAACTGATTATTAACAGCATCCCCTGATTCCCACCACTTGATAATATGCAATATCATAACTCAATAATAAACTATTCACAAACCTTGATAAAGAGCTCTTTTGAGGTGTCGTACATCTCCCACAGAATAAACAAATTTGAGGCTATTAGAACCTGGATTTTCAGGATCTAATAGAAATGAAAAAGCTTTGTATAGCTCTCTTTCATAAAACTCCATTGTGACTTTTAATATAGTTTTTCCCGCACTTTCGAATTTATACTTTTCGGGTTCCTTACTCTCTAAATTAACAGGGAGTACGTCTCCAGGATTGACTGTAAGTTTTGTAGATGGAGGATGAATGATTTTATAGCCAGTTTTAATCCATTCGCTTTTTAGCTTTTCTGCAAGTTTATCACTAGAAACAAAATGAACGGATACAAAACTACCCAAATGATCCTTGCACAGAAAATATAAAAGGTCAAATTTTACAAGTTCCAGATCTTTAGAATTTAGTGCAGGAATCTTTTCACAGAAACTGTCAGCGGTGAAGGAAACAAAGCCAGAATCAGTCAAAGACACCTCATCACAATACTGCCATTGTCCCCTCTTTTGCCTTTTATAAATGTAAAGTTGCACTGGTCTTTTGCATTTTTTAGATATACTACACCAAATTGGCATTTTAAAAACCACAGGAAATTTGAATTTTAAACCTCCAGGCGCACAATGTAGGGGGAGTGAGACAGGTATTAAACCAGAAGGCAAAGTAAGATTGTCAATGTCATCTGACACATAAAATTTTGTTCTAATTGGAATATTAACAGCATTTTGGGGGAAAATGACTTCATATGAAAATAGCTTGATTGCGCCTCCACCAGGTCCAACAGTGTAACCTGAAAGTAAAACAGTTCATTTACCCGAGTTTATGGATCTGCAAAATAATACTTTAGTTTCAATATATTGTGCGAGGAATTACACTAAGAACTGCACTGCATAGGCTAGTTAAATAAATGAATTAGCCTTCATACAAAAATCTGATTGAAGTACCCATAAATTGGTTGATGTTTCATGATAAATAAATCACCACATAACTACTAACAGCGCTTGACCGTGGAGTAGATGCACAATTGTAAGAAAAAAAACTTTTACTCTGGTAGACAAATATGAAAGCTCAGTTGGTTATTCCCTTCTGCTCAAAGTTAGTTCAAGCTTCGGATTTTTCTAATCAAACTATAAAACGAGAATATCGGTCAGAGACCGAAGACTTATCGATCGAAAGTTAGGGGATCCCCAAAACAGCGCTCTTACTGCATAGTGACACCTTGTGTCCCATCACTAATTAAATAATAACTCGCTAATTATATGACATAATTCGCCCAAAATCAATAGGCTTCTGGTACGAGATATGATGAATGCACATGCGAAATCTGCAGCAGATCCAATCTCGCTTTCGTGAGATATCGCGTGCATCTAACAGACAGACAAATACCTATCAACATACTTATCGATTAAAATCGATAAGTAACAACTTTCTACAATAATAGCACTACACTCTAAATAGCGATAATAAATTATCTTATCCTAGCCCATAATTTTTTATAGATAGATGGAGGTGTTAGAAATTTCTACAGATGCTGATTGACAAGCATTTGCACTACAACAACAAATAATATATTTTTATGATTTTTTAAACTCAAGCTTATTTATTCATAATTGTATAGATTTAAGCATATTAGAGCCTAATAGCCATTGGATATTTATTTTAGTATTTTCCTAATTTCCAATACATTACTAGTTTTCCAATATCAAAATCAATAATGTACACTTACCGATCATATTATCTCTCAAATCTTCAATATCTATTCCTGCTAGTTTCATCATGGTTTCATATTCATGCTGAATCCTTTGAGAAATTTGAAGCATTTTATCAGAATGTTGTTTTGCTTCCAGCGCTGCTTCTCTTTCTTGCATTAGGTCTCGTTTTTCTTTCAGTACTGCTTCTTTTTCTTGCATTAAGTCTGTTTTTGATGAGAATATAATATATTGTAATTTTTGAACAAACAAATTTTAGTTTATTGGACATCATTCTTAGTTGTATATACTTAAATGTGTTACTTTTTATTTTTTTCTCCATATATTTATGCTTTTGTTCCCGTACTCTCATCGTCAAATTGTATTCTTTTTTCAACTGTTGCAGTTCATCCTGTGGAAACTCCCCCTTTTTCTCATACTCCACAGGTACTAAAGAAATTATTTTATAACTTGATTAATTCCAATAATGCGACTGGAAACTCCCAAGGTTCTGTTTTAAATTATAGTATTGGAGTTATTGTATGAGCAAAAATGATAAGCGACGGGTTACTCAACACTGCACAACTTGAAAATTTCTTTTTGTGAATTGTTTGTGACACGATCAGATTTATCTCAGTCCATGGGTCAATTTGAAGAAAGTTATCTACCTTACAATTCTCAAGGCTCTTCAATCAGTATTCTTAATTGTATTTTTAATCCATCATTCATAAAGTAACAGTAGGTTAATTAACGAATTGCCTAAATATGGCTTAACTGTGCACATTTCTTGCTAACAGGATCAATAAAGCTGTGTGGTAGTTTACCTTGATAAAGAAAAATAAGCTAGAGTCAGGGGCGGATACTTTCCATGATTTGGGGGGGGGGGGGTATCGCTACATAACAAAAATTCATCAGTGTCATTCTCTTAAATATTAGCATGTCATTTTACTACACAATTATCCAGTACCTAGGCCACTTTGCTTAGACATGGAACTCCCTTGAATTCCTCGGGAATTAGCCATGGCTCTTGCTAACAAAAAGAACCGACAAATTCCGCAAATTAGAAATGTCAAACAAGATAACAGGTTATTATACAAAATTTATCCTAGATATTACCAGGGAAATATTATTTGACCAGTAGAATTGCCAATATCACCGATTTATTTAATCATCATTCGAACGCAAATTAACACTCAGGATTCACGCAATTTTTATTTATTATTTACTACGAAAATAAAACAAGCACAATGGAAACATAAAATCAACAACTAGCAGGTCCGACCAAATGCCGGAAAACCTGTGTTTTCATTAGTCTTGAGGGTCTAAAAAGTGTTTCAAGCTACGACAAAATGCTATGTATGATACAGAAACATGCTTTTACTTTTTTTACATTTCAAAGGCATGGGGGGTTCGACGTTGTGTAAGAATTGGTCTTTGTAATAAAAGTGTGCAGAAATATAGCTCACCAACAATAGAATAGCCAGTGTTTTGGACGCCTGTTGTATATATATTAAAAAGACCCAATAAAACTATTCAATTTTGCTCACTCTTACGATCTATAATTACAGAAAAGTGTGGTAGTCTGAACACTGATGCAATGAAAGTTGATAAAACCTTCATTAAATTGCATTACTTCATGGAATTGGCAATATTTTTCAAATCCCGAACACAAAGAAGGTTATATTTTTTGGATAGTTTCTGCGGTCTGAATAGTCGGATAAGCGTTTTGACATAATAAATGCTATGATCTTTGCCATCAAATTATGCTCGCACCTTGCGCGAAAATCATAAAGTGGAAAGATACGTCCAGCGGTGAAAATTGTGTATAACAGTTTTAAACGTCCAGCGGTGAAAATTGTGTATAACAGTTTTAAACCTGATAGTTTTTAAAGCAATACTAATTAATTGTTGTAATGAAATACAGTTTGTTTGCCTCTTCGATTTTTCTGCAAGTGCCGACAATATTAAAAGATTTTGAAAATAGGGGAAACATATCAACTTATAACAAAAATGACCTAGGTTGTGCGAAAGTGAGAACCCCTGTGATAATAACAACAACGTGAAATGGCGAGCAAAACCGGAGCATGTGATCGGCGGTGCGTTTGAAGACCATGTATTACCCGTGAGGCCATGCATCTTTTACTATAATGTGAAGTGCTCTGATGGCGCTCTCGTGTACATTATCGCACGAAAACAGTTATCATATTGATAACTATTACCCATTTGTTTGCGCTCGATTATCGCACTCTTCGAAAATGATAATTTTGTAAGGCGAAAACAACATGTGTTTAGGTATAGACGAAATTATTGAGGGGCGACCGCCCTCCTTCGCTCCCCCGGGTGTCCGCCCCTGGGTAGAGTCTCATCTTCACAATTGGTACAGTCATGTTTGCTACCATGCAGAAAAAGCAGCAGTACAAAGAAAAGCTCCATCTGAACCGATGAATTATTCTAAGGTTTGTTTGACCGATCCACTCTTACAGTAATGTCAAAAAATTACAGTATTATTTCAAAGTGTTTCATATACAAAGTTTGCCTCCTAAAACTATTTTACTTTCGATGCAAAACAGAATTTCACAGGCTGACAGGGACTAATATAATTAAAAAAAAAATTTATGCTACCAATTACAAATGAAGATTGATACAAATTTGACAACTTAGACAGATAGATATTTTTAATAAAAGGAGAATTGTATGAACAGACACAAAACAGCTCACTTTTGATCCATTGTCTTTACAATTAATAGTGGATTATCGCTCTGTATTACTCTAAATCAATCACTCACTATCTCAAAATGAGATATAGTGGATAACTTGATCCATTGAGAAATTAGATTTCCTGAACTAACAGCTGGAAATATCAAATTGGTCCAAAAAAAAATCACTCAGCAAAATGATTAAAAAATTTAACTAACCATCCATGGAAATAGAGGACAATGAAGACTTTTTATCGGCACTGGAAGCTGTTATCGCCCCTTTGTGTTTGTCGAAAAATTCAGCTTTCTCTGCTGAGCTTGTCTCCACTTCTCTCCGACTGACATATCTATCCCTTCTATCAGTTGATGCCTCACCTCCCATAATGAATATTTATCAAACAAATCGGTTATTAAACCTGAAGCGAAATGCCATATTTATGGAGGATAAAATGGCTAAAAAAACTTGCATAGATAAACATAATATTAATTACAATCTATTCCAAATATTTTCGTGAAAACAACAATTTCATGACAGGACTAAATAAAGTGAAAGTAAATCGTGACATGCTGGTGAGTCAGTGCGCATAATGTGATTATTGGATCATTGTATAAACATCCAGAAACGGTCATGACCTGGATGTTCAATACATTCAAAATTGGTAACGACAAATTACTGAATTAATCACCGATTTAAATGTGTCATTAAGTATAATAAAACCGATATATAATACTAATATATAACCGAACAGGAGGCCGTGGTTCGCCATATAGTTGATCCATAGTCGTAGAATTGAGTTATCTCTTCGCCAGGATAAATATGTGAATACTATTTTATCTTGAAAAACGCTTCACTGCAATAACATGCTGACATGTGGGCACTGCTATGATATGGGAAAGCATTTTCATATTAATCCCGGAAAGATGGCTCAATCATATGGCAAACCACAGCCTCTTCTGCTCTTGTCTTGTCTTTTGGGTGTCGCTGCTCGATAACCAAATTTGGTTCCCCACGGCTTCCCTTCCCCAGTAAAAATGTGTGTTTGTCAAAAAAGGCAGGTAGTTTCAAAGCGGTTCTGTAGCTGTGAGTTGGTTAAAGGCAAGTAAAGAAAAAAGGTTAAAAGTAAGGGGTAAAGGTGAACATAGGATTAGATCAGTGGTTCTCAAACGGTGAGGTGCGGCCCACAATTGAGGCTAGTAGACAATTTTTTGAGAGGGCGTGAAGCTAATTAACAATAAAAATATTCGTTAGATTTGCCCGCCCTATTTTGAATATTTACCTTGGATATTTATTTTCCGTCTGCGCATTTTCAACGCATTTTTTGAATAAAACATACTTTCGCATTACTATCCGTTATTTGTATCTTATCGTAAGCTATAGTTATTTTTGAGGTGGGGCGCGAGACTTGCTAAATTATAGAAGAGGATCGCGGCTTAAAAAGTTTGAGATCCACTGGATTAGATTGATTCGTTTGTATTTATGCCTCAAAGATTCAACATTAAAGTTCTTTTGATTCAGTTTAAATTATTTAAGAGGCTTGAATTTATGAAAATAACACGCTATAATTTGTCGGATTTTAAGCCCTTGGCACAATACTGCTGCTGCTGCTCCATGCTGCTGTAGAGCCATCAGTTCATTTAGTGAGCCACACAAATGTCTTTTTCCATTATTGAAAGTTGTATTTACGGTTGCTACTTGCTATCGTGTTGATTTCCACTTCAGCGGGATGAAGGGTTTAAAAGTAAAAAGGATTAATTAAATGGCAGCACCAGAATAATCATTCTACACAATACAGTCAAGCTGACACTGTGACATCTATATGAAAAGTTAAAAAAAAATAAGAAGGAATATCAAGCGGACAACATTTTACAATGCAATATATACATACATACCATACACTGTACAGGGTGCCGTAGTATGTGATATACCTACATGTTTCTACTTAAACTTGTGATATACCTTAAAAAATTCTCCCTAATTCGTACTTTACTATTGAAAAACTTTTCAGTTCTCAAATTTTGAAACCATCAATTTTATTACAAAATTATCTAACCACGTGCCGCGTGCAGGCAGACAGGGGACTGACCACTGATACTGTGAATTTTAGCGTAGTTAATCACATTGTTCGTGAGACTAAATTTTGATTACTGCAACTAAACTAAAGCTCCACATAGCCTAAGTCATAAATAAAATTAAGTTATACAACTATTTTTTGGAAACAGAACTAAAACTGACAAATAACACGCAAAACTATAAAAACGAGGTAATGTTTACAACCCTGCTTGAACATCTGTCTGAGCGGCTGCAGAAACTGCAATTATTTCTTATTGGTTATGGTTAAGCGCTAAGGTAATAAACAAGGAAATCGATGCTCGGGGAAATCCAAAATGTTAAGTAGCTAAGCAATAGGCTATTCTGCCATTGTTACACACTAAATATTGTATTTCGTGTGATTTAAATGATAGACACTAAGATAGACTCAAAAACGCCAAAAAGCCAAACGGAAATTCTGACGCCAAACGCGTTTGAAAAAAGCCAAAAATGGCAAATTTGGCGTTAAAAAAGCCAATATGGCAACCCTGAGTCAGACCCTTTTTTTTTTTTTTTTTTTTTTTTTTTTTTTTTTTTTGCCAAATTCAATTCCAGAGTCAATATGGAATTATTTAATTATGTTTTTGAAGCCAATTAAATTTTCAGTTTTTGTTTTATATAATTTTATTTTTTTTTTGTTTTTTGGAAACCAATTGCATGTATTGCGTTCCAATTACGGTACTTGAGGAAAATTAAAACAGTTGGATAAACAATTATTAATACATATCAAACCCAGTGATGATAATCCATTTTTCGTCATATATCCGTTTGTATTGAAGATTGTCCATATTTCGTCATAAATATAGCATTTTTATGTACATATATAATTAATTATTTTATTTTAGCATGGAAAAAGAGAAGGTTTCAAAAAATTAGACAGAAAATTCAAAAACCTATCATGCTACTAGATTTTCATTTAATCTGTCTATGTTATGCAATGCAATGCAGTTAACCTTCCCAAAACTTTTTTTTTTTTTTTTTTTGATCTAACGTTAGAGACTTCCTAACTTTTTTTTTTTTTTATAAAAACAGTCAATATTATCAATACTAGTCAATCTTAAAAATGTACTATCAAAAGCTATGACATTACCGACTTTTCTAACAAGTTTTCAATTCTTCCATCCTCCAAAAAGCTATTTTTCATATTTGATGCCATATTTTTCAGCATCCCTCTAATTTTACATTTAAAAATTATTCTCATAACTGATTGGAAATTATCCAAATCTTCAAATATTATCTGATTCCTGAATTCCCAAATAGCTGCCTTTCCACATGCAACTATCATAATAACTGACAGGTCACATGTATTTTGTGCAATAATGGTATCAATATTATTTTCACTAAAATGCAACTCGCACCAATCCCAAAATATTTTAACATAATAGCATTCAAAAAATAGATGTTTACAGTCTTCAATGATATTAATATTGCACAACACACAGTGACCATCATCATATTCTGTCCAATGCCTTGTTCTATTTCCAGTAGGTAATGCCATATGAATTATTTTCCAACATAAAACTTGTACAATTTTAGATATTCCATGAACCCAAATGTTATTCCAATCAATATCAAATTCCAGTCCATAATATTCCTTAATTGATAAACCTTTTTGTTTTGTCACTTCCATTATCTTTTTACTTATAATTTGATTATACATATATTTCGTGGTTGGAAGTTTTTCAAATGAATATATTGAACTGGAATCTGTTTGAACATTACTTTGACTATTCAACACATTAGCCCATCCTGATGGTATGGCTTTTAAAATTTGTACAGAATCTTTACTACTTTCCTATAACAATCAAGTTTTTTATTTTCACGCATACTACTCCATTTGTTTATGCCCCAAATTTTGATTGCTATTTCAAGACAGTCATATTGGAACAGATGGCCAAATGTTAAAATGTTTCCTCTTATCCAATTATTTATAAATTCTGGTTGATTCAACCATGTTAAGGCTGGATTCCACCATATGTATTGATCATATATTTGTTGTTTAGTGGTGATTTGTTTCGTTTTTACATCAAGTTCCTTGAATATGTTGACCGAATTTATATAAAACTTAGGAATGTTATTATTCCTTAAAATTTTCAAAGAGAGATGTAGTATTTCTAAATTTGTCACTGTTATTTTAGGATGGTATCTATTTATAAATTGTTTCGCTCTCTTTGCCCAAGGAGCCTCATCACTTTTTAATAATTTCCAAATCCATCTAACTTGTAGACTTTTAATCTGACTACACAGATCCATGGCCTTTCAGACCTCCTTCAACTTTCCTTGCACAGCAGACTCTCCTCTCTACCGTGGGTTGTTTGTTGTTCCATACAAAATCCCATACTAGGGTCTCAATTGTTTTAATGATTTCATTTGGAATTGTTATTACAGCCGCAAGATACCACAATTTAGATAATAATAGACTTTTAGTAATCAGTATTCTCCCTTGCATGCTCATAGTTCGAGCTCTCCATATATTCACTACTCTTTTGATTTTTTCTATAATTGGATTCCAGTTTTGTTGCGTCGTGTCATTGTTGCCGATCCAGACACCAAGGACACATAAACTATCCCTTTTTAATGCTATACCTTGAAACTGTGTTTCATTTATCTTAAGACAATCTCCACATAACAATATTTGAGATTTTTCCTTATTTATCCTGGTACCTACAGCTATTTCAAATTTTTCGACTATTTTCAATGCCTCTCCAACTGATTTAAATCTCTAACTGTTAATGTTGCATTATCCGCAAACCCTTTGTATTTTTCTTCATTCCCTGAAATGTTCTTAAAACCTATTATGTTGCTATTTACTCTAATATTAGTTGCAAAAACCTCCGCAACCATAGTGTATAAAAATGGGGACAGAGGACAGCCTTGTTTTAATCCACGTGTCATTTCAAAACTCTCTCCTACATATCCATTTGTTAATATTTTTGCTTTTGTATTAGTATATAAAATTCTTATATAATTGATAAAATTTGGACCTAAATTAAACTTCTTCATAACTTTAAAAAGGAATTCTCTATCAACAGTATCATAGGCTTTGGCCCAGTCTATTGAAAACACTACTAATTCTTTTCCAAATCTGTTAGCATAAAATATGTCGTCTCTAATACATGAGATGTTTTCATGTATAGAACGACCCTGAATAAAACCAGTCTGGTCACAGTGAATTATTTTTGGAAGTAAGTTTCTAATTCTGTTAGCTAAAATTTTTGCCAAAAGCTTATAATCAAAGTTTAACAGCGATATAGGTCGCCAATTATTCAGGTCATTTTTATTTCCTTTTTTATACAATAGGGTGATAATAGCTGTTTTCATTGACTCTGACATATGTCCTGATATTACTATTTTGTCAAAAACAATTTTCAATATACTTCCAAATATTTTCCAGAATTTCGCATAAAAATTTTTTGTAATACCATCTGAGCCCGGCGCTTTGTTTAATTTCATACCTTTGAATGCGTTTTCTAATTCTTCAAATTTAATTGGTTGTTCTATGTCCTCCTTATCTAATTTATCAACTTCTTTATTTAATTTCAAAAATCAAATCATCTTGGGAATTTTCATCTAGATTTGGTGTTTTTGAGTATAATTTTTGGTAAAAAGATTGTTGTACTTTTTGTATGTTTCTCAAACCTCTCACAATCTCTCCACTTTCGTTTTTTAATTTCTTGTATCAATTTCAATTTCCCTCGATACTTCTCCAAATTGAAGAAATACTTTGATGAGATTTCTCCCGATTCTGCCCACTGTATGCGTGCCCTTATAGCGTTTCCTTTTACTTGATTCGTTTGAAATCTTTCAAATTTTGTTTTGCCTGCATTAACTTGTGACTTTTTTCTATATCGTATTGATCTTCCTCATATTTGAACAATGCTTCTTCATAAGTTTTTATTAATTGTTTTTCTATATTCCTATTTTCCTTAGCTAACTTTTCTCCACTATATATAGACCACTCCCTAATTTTTCTTTTACAATTTTCCCAAAATTTAAGAACATCAATTTCATGTCCTTCATTTAATTGCTTTAGCCATTTCTTTGATATAACTTCTACCCCTGTGACAAATAAATCATAATTTAATAAGTTGCTATTAAATTTCCAATAACCTTTCCCACGTTTGATATTCTCGCCTATATCTGTCCACATAAAGACAGGTAAGTGATCCGATAATGCTGCTGCAATTATTTCAACTTTTTCTACATTGACAGTATATAATCGCGAAAGATACCATCTGTCTATTCTGCTTTTGGATTGTTTTTGCCCGTTTCTGGTTGCTGGGCGATGAAATGAAAATTGTAAAAGGGATGAGTGCCTTTCACGCCAAATATCAATCAAATCCAATTTAGTAACAATATTTTGGAGCATTTTTTCACTTTTGGATTTATTATTTCTTCTACATTTGACGGAATCCCTATCCCTATCTTCCAAAATACAATTAAAATCACCACCACATATAAAATTGCATGTGTATGCATAATTTGAAGCTTTCAGGGTTTCTAGTTTTTCATATATAAGTTTGAACAACTTGACCCTTTGAGAATCAAGGTTTGGAGCATAAACGTTCACTACTATTGTTAAAAAACTATCGTATTCAAATGAACATATAATATATTGGCCATTTTCATCTATATCTATATTTCCTAAAGATATATCTAAATTTGAAGAAATCAAGATCCCTACCCCATTGCAGGTATTGGAA